CCCTAATTTTTTATTAACCAAACAGAACAGGCAAGTGATAGCAAGTAACCTCCTTATGGCTGGGCTCATATACTTCAGGTAAAAATCAAAGCTAACTTGACATTAAGTTAGCCAGGGAAGCTCTACTGTGGACACATGTATGATTTTGGCTGGCCTTTGAAATAGTAATTCTCAAGCTATGATGGTTACACTTGCACCAACTCTCAAGCTTACATGCTTAAATCCAAACTAATTCAGTGATGCCGTTTGTGTCAAACTCATGCTCTTGCACAAATCCATTTACATGCAACTTGAGTATCCCTTCGAATGCAGGTAAATGCAGAAAATGCACCTTCCAAAGCACCTTTCCAAGCATGTCCTCAGACTCAAACTCACTCAGTTCAACCATATACTGGCCACGAGGCTACACTTCAGTCGGCTTGTGTCCCACACTGGGACCCTCTGGCCTCAAAGGCCATGTGAGAGCACAGAACATCAAGTGTGCACCACTCAGTACTTACCTGGCCTGGCTAGTGCTAGAGATGCAAAAATGAAAAAGACATCATTCATTCATCACTCCAGAAGTATTAATTAAATGCCTTCAATGTACCAGACACTGTGTAAAGTTCTAGGGATATAACAATGAGAAAAGTGAAGTCCCTGCTTTCATGGAACTTACCATACATCTGGTGGGAGAAATGGGGGTGGGGGATGCAGGGTGGGGGGCAAATAGAGAAAATAATTACAAATTGTGAAATGAGCTAGGAAGGAAACTCAGGGAGTGGGTGGGGCTAGATAGGGAATAGAGGACCTCTGTTAGATAGGGACAAAGACCTCACATAGTTTTACCAGTCAGGGTCCTGCCAAGAAACACGTGGTACCCTCAGTGTGAGAAATGGAGGAGCATTTAATAAAGTTACTATAATATTTCCAAAGCGAGAGGAATGGTAATACCTTGGAGTAAATACCAGTAAGAACCATTAGCAGCACTAGGCCCAAAAGTACCAGGGGAAGAAGCAAATGCAAGAATCTGAAGAAATAGCGGATAGGGAGGGAGGCCTATTTGATGGGAGCTGCTAGCTACGTGCACCTAAGTGGCTCAGTACCCTGGCATTCAGATTGGAAATGATTTCCATTTCCAATCGAGCGTGTTCTCTGCTAGTTTAGTTTCCTAGATCTGCTGTAACAAAGTATCATGGACTGCATGGCTTAAAACAACAGAAAATTATTCTCTCTCCGTTCTGGAGGCTGGATGTCCACAATCAAGGTGTCAGCAGGGCTGATTTCTTCTTGGTGGCTCAGAGGGAGGACCTGTTCCACGCGTCTCTCCTAGCTTCTGGTGATCGCTTCCTTGGCTTACAGCCGCATGGCTCTGATCTCTGCCTCCATTATCCCATAGCCATCCATCTTCCTTCTGTATCTGTCTGTCTGTATTTCTTCTCCTCTTCTTCGAAGAATACCGGTCACTTTGGATTTAGAGTTCCCCTTATTCAAGTATGATTCGCAACAATTGTAGAGTGTAATTAAAAACCAACTGTTGGCAAGGATGTGGAGTGACAGGAATGGTCATACGCTGCTGGTGTGGGTGTAACCCGGTACGGTCACTTTGGGTTAAAGTTGGCAGTATCTGAAAAGCTGACGATAAGCATACCCTAGTGCCCTTCTTAGTTATATGTCCTATAAAAATGTATGCCCATATGCATCAGGATACATGCACAAGAATGAGAAGACTTGTTGGCAATAATCCCAAACTGGAAACAACCCAGCTATCCACGGAACAGTAGAAGAAGTAAACAAATTATGGGTAGACTACAACTATCTACTATATAGTATAATGAAACAAGAATGAACTATGCACACAACAACATGGATGAATCCTAAAGCATAATAATGAGCAAAAATAAGTCAAATACCATAGAACATGACTGTAGGATTTCATTTATAAAACGTTCAAAACCAGGAAAAATTAAACCATGTTGTTAAGGATGTATAATCAGGTAACAATGCTTAAATAAAAGCAAGGACATGAATAACATAACAGTCAGGATATATGCTAGAGGGACGGAGGGGACATGATCTGGCAAAGGACACATCGGGGAGTGGGCTTCTGAGGTGTTAGTGATGTTCACTTTGTAACAATTTATTTGTTACACCATATTTATGTTTTTTAGCACTTTTCTGCATGCTTGTTATATTTCACATGTACACACACACACACACACACGTGTAAAAAATGGGTGGGGCACCTGGATTTTGGAATCAAACAAAGAAACTATTTAGTAGCTGTTTGACTCTGGACACGTTACTGAAGGGGCAAAACAATATAAGACCCCCCCTTGGAAACAATAAGATATGAAACAAAACAAAAAAGTGAATCTCCCATTAAGAAAGAAATTTCTTAATTAGTTTTTAATTAAAGGGCAATTGAGAAAAACCCACTGGAATCTAAAAGATCTTTATTTATGCAGGTGCTGTGCTATAAAATATTCTAATCTGTGTTGTTAATGAAGCTGGATTTACAACCTAGTAAACTAACAAAGAGCTTATGTTTAGTTGATTAATTGGTTGGGGCTACATACAGTCTTGTGTACTTAAGTGACAGTTTGCACTTCTTCATTTTTCTTCTAACCAACGTAAAAAGATGATAGCTCTCGTGCTGTGAAATGGCTTTATTACGAGACTGTCAACCCATTTGCAATGCAAATGTCTATCATTGGGAAATTTGTTCCATACAACTGACAGACGTCCTAATGATAATAATAATAATGACTTACCCAGAGTTCCAATTGGAACCAAGAACTACATCAGGCAGTTTGTAGTTATTGAAACATTTTGGCATGACACTATCCTCCTTTAAAGACTTCCTTATTTTGAGACACAAGAAGCTGTTCCAAGGTCATTTTGTTTTTTCCCTGCTCCAGCCCTGGAATCTTGGGTGTTTTTCTAAGGAGCCCTGGATTCTTTTACTAACAAATTGTATTTAGAAGCCAAGATCTAGCTTGCTTATTGCTACTGGTGTGTCATTGCTTTTAAGGCCCTCTCAGCAAATTGGATCAGGAAATACACAGACACACACACACACACACACACAGACATAGACACACACACACAGACACACACACACACACACACACACACACACAGACATAGACACACACACACAGACACACACACACACACACACACACACACTTTTATATCTATCTCTATTATATCAAATGCCATGAGTTCATACTGGTACATCGAATTCCAGCCCAACAGCAAAGAGTTCTTTCAAACTTTTCACCTTTCCATGTTTGTAACGCCCTTCCCCTGCATTGAGAAATCTATTTTTAATCATTTTGAACGCAACGAAGTTTTTAATGTGTGCATTGTTGGTTTTTTAAAAAAAATATCGTTCTCACTCATATTGATCTTTGTTCTCCAATAACTATAAAAACTCCAGAGTGTTATTTTAATTCATTCAACCAACACTATGGGCTAGATAACCTTCCAGGGCTGGGGATACAACAGTGAATAAAACTTCGTATTGGGACCGTGGTTAGAGAGAATAATAGATACAAAACTAGGAAATGGCAAAGCTGGGCTCTGAACCCAGACAGCCTGGCTCCAGCATTCATGCCATACCATCTGCCTCTGGTTGCTTTTGTAATTTGCTCTCTGCCTTCCACAAAATTTTACAGCTCTCTTGAATCCAATAAAGAATACTTCTGTTGGTTTCTAAATCTACACCATGCAGAGGCTTGTGCATCCTCCACATTGCTTCACTTCTCTGATATTCCAAATCTGTGAAAACCAAGATACTAATCTCAGCCGACTGCGAGGGTAGATGAAATTATATGCGATGCCTGGTGCTACTTGCGACACATCGTAGGTATTTAGTGAAGTTGATTTTCCTTTCCTTTTTCAACATAAATGCTACACTGTCAAGTTCCTTCAGTACAAAGACTTTTTTTTCTCTTTTATAATTCAATCATTTATTTACGCATCCACTTATTCTTACATCAATTCAAAAAACATTTATTGAGATTCCAACATATACAGCAGGCTCTGCTAGCCGTGGGGGAAACAGGAACCGCACAGCCTTCATTACCGTGGAGCTCACAGTCCCATGCAAGAGCCACACCAACAATTTACAATACAAGCTGATATGCAGCTCGAATGAGAGCTGGAAGAAGGCTGGTCATGGAAGAAGCCTTTCGGAAGGAAGGGGCCCTGTTACAGTAAGGACTGTACAGCAGTTCCGCTGTTAAAGGTGCCAGGGATAAGTGAAGAAAAAAAAAATGGGTGAACGAATTCAGTTCAACGAATATTTCCTAGAAACTTCTACTGCCCAAGGCATTGTGCTCTGAACTGGGAGTGTGCAGATGCAGAAGGGGGCAGCTCAGGCCCTGAAGGAGCGCCTTTTATTCGCTATGTCAATACAACATAGCGAATTATAGGGGGAGGCAAGCTGCTGTGACAAGAAGATGGAGGCAGACAGAAAGCAGCCCTGAAAGGACACCCTGAGAGAAGGGTGAGAGGAGAACTAGGAAAGACTGGGCTCCAAACGAAGAGAAGGCGAAGGCAAGGAGAGTCAGGAAGGAGGGAGCAGTGGTCTGCAATGCCCCAAAGAGCATCCACTCGGTTTGGCAATAGGTGACCTTTGCCAGAGCAGTTTTTGTGTTCGTGGCGCAGGCGGGAGTTCCACTGCAATCAACGAGGGAATGAGAGAGTAGAAAGCAGCGAAGGTGCGTAAATGAATCCACCAAGCGCTGTGGCCTCAGCTGCCCTGGGAATTTCCAGGGCCAAAGTCGGGAGCTGGTGCGGAGGAAGGGCCTTCCCACTGGGCGCTGGGTGCCGCTTAGAAACCTGTCAGCCTCGCAACCCTTAGGTAGGCGCGGCTCCAAGGTCAGGGTCACCTCGGGCCTCCCCGTAACCCGTCACCTTGACGACCAACTGCCGAAAACCGGAAAGGACGGAAGCCGTCAGACCCTCTCGCGATATCTGGCACGCCGACGCCGGGCCTTCCGGGCCTGGGAACCGCGACCGCCTCTCGCGAGACTTGCCGGGACTCGGCGCGCGGGGCCCCACGGTCGGGAAAGCTGGAGCTCGGGGTGGGGAACATGTCGGAGTCAGAGCACGGCAGGAAGTGGGACCGGTGCTTGGCGGATGCGGTGGTGAAGATAGGTAAGGGGCGTGTGGTCCCAGGCCGGCCGCGCCCGGAGCTCGAGGGTCCGCCGACCAGGAGGGCGGAAGGGAAGCCCCGTAAGAGGTCGGGCGGCCTGGCCTGTTCCAGCCCCTGAGGCCAGGGCTAGTTAACCCGAGCCCGGGCGGGGAGGTCAGTCACTCCGGCGGCGGGGGACACGGGCCCGGGGGGCCTAGGCAGCCGCCCGAGTGGAAGGAGTGGCGTCGCAGCCCCGACGAGGTGGGAGTCGGGGTGGCAGGTGGCAGGAGAGGTGCTGAGATATCTTGGAGCGAGAGACGGTATCTAGGACACAACCTTGTGCCAGAGGCTCAAAATTCCCCCCGGTGCCACAGCTCCCGCACGGGGAGTGGAGCCTGGTCAGGAGGCCGCATTCCTCCTCCGCTGCAACAAAAGTGCCTTCTGAAGAAGGTCATCGGGAGCCCTTTCAAGACACTGCCAGGCCCTAACGTGAGTTGCTGTCATTCCCGATGTGTAACCTGATGTATCGGCGTCAGAGTAGTCTGGGGTCTGCAATCGGAGACATGGTGATGGTGATCTGGAATGAGAATTGCCCTGGAAAGTAAGAGATTGGTCACGGAGTAGTCCTTAATGTAACTCCGCGTAACCTCTTAACTTGTACTCAAGGACGACACAAATTATGAAGTCACTGCATGGAGGGAAGGGGAAAGAGGGAGATTCCTTTACTGAGCGTGTGCTAAGTGCCAGACAGTGTGCTAGGCGCGCAACTTCATACGTTGTCTCATACAGGTCATGAAATTGAAAGTCAGGGGAAGAGAGTAGTGGCCCAGGGTCTCATAATTGACAAAGTTGCTAATAAATGGCAAATTTGGGACTAGATCCCAGGTTTTCTGGCTTTCAGGTCCCATGCTCTTTCTTGAGTACTAATTTTTATTGTCCAAATTTGATATTCTTGTATGGAAGTCTTAAGAATATTTAAGAGGATTTAGGATTGCCCTCCAGAGAAAATATAGGAAAAGAAGTAAGATTGTAAACTCCATGAAAGCAGGGATGTTTTCTGGTTTATTCGTTGCTATATCCCCCAGTCCCTAGAAGAGTGCTTCATAAAAATTGTTCAGACGAGTCAATAAATGAAATAATGTATCACAGCTACCACGTCACCCTTGAATTCGTCACTTACCAGCTGTGTGATTTGGGGCAAGTTACTTAACCTCTCTGTGCCTGTCTCCTCATTTGTAAATTGGCAATAAAAATTACTGTCTCACAGAGTTATGAGGATTAAATGAGTTAGTTTATGTAAAGGCTCAAGTACGAACCACTTACTAAGAATGGGTTATTCCGGAAGTGACCAAAGAAATACACAATTTTTGTTATTGTTAACAGCTTACATTTAGGAGAGAAGATTTAAAACCTAGATACGAAATAACCAAAGTAATTACTAAACAGCATGATGTAGTCGTTAAGAATGGGAGGTAGAGCCGAGTTTGAAATCACCCACTCTCACTCTTCACTCCCATCCTCATTAGATTTGTAGCTTTGGGTAATGTATCTTCCTTAACTATGAAATGGGGATAAAGAGACAGATTTCCTAAGAGGATTATGAAGATTGAAGGATAGAAAAATACGTAAGATTCTTAGCATAATACCTGGCACTTACTATGTATTCAGTAAATGGTGGTAGTAGTAATTGGTGATATTAATACTGTTGTGTTGCTGATGATCACCTGAGGCAGTTTGTAGTGTCACTGTCATTCATGAGTGGGACATAGGTGGGGGGTGGGGCATACATAGGTGAAACAATTAGATGAGGCACACTGATGTATGATCACAGCTAAAAATTAAAAAGGAATTCAGACTCCTTTTGCTGTGGTGCTGTTGTTATAAATCAAGTAAGTGGAGTGATGGGCTGAGGTCAGCCAGTGAGAGTTTGCCAGGGAAATGGGCCTTCAGCTGACCTTTGGAGAAAGACTTGGACTTGGATGGTCAGGGAGGGTGGAAGAACGTGAGCAGAGACCGAGTTGAACTTCTATAGAGGGGGAAATTGAAGCATGGAGCAGTTTAAGTAGCTAGAAGTGGAGGGGCTGGCTTAGAATCCAGGCACTGTAATTTCAGCACTGCCTAAAGATGACTGGTGTGGGTGGAGTCAGAATTGTGAAACGTCTTAGAGAGATTCCACTTTATCTTGAAGGCTTTTGAGTTGCCTTTGACTTTTTCACATGTGTTCTGTACATTCAACACCTCTGTCCCAGATAGATTAAATCGATTACTTTCTGCTTCCAGGGCTCATTGTACCAGGCTGGTGGGGAATCATAGGATGGTTTTAAGCGACAAATACTTATTGAGCTCTGGGCCACTCAGTGGGCAAATAGAGAAACAGAAGGCATTTTCACTGACCTCAACAGGGAATTGATGTGATAGAAATGGAATTTTGGTATGATCGTTCTGGCAATGTTTTATGCAGATCAGATTTGGAGTAGGAGAGACAAACAGTACTGTAATTGTGAAGTGATCAAAGTCTGAATTGTTAGGCCGGAAAGAAATGGGTATATTTGAAAAACTACAAACTTTTCCCCCCATTTTTAAAGTGAAAATAGTATAACCCACTTCCTAGGCCAGCATGGTGACAAGTACATAGGAGGAACTCAATAAATACTATTTTTAAAATTTTGTCTCTAACTAGTTAACTTTGCTTCATCTTCATGTCTTATAAAGATGACTCCAAGGTTAGAACTTGGGTAAGTGGTAATGTCATTACTCAGAGTTTGGAAGTAAAACAGTAGAGGTGGGTGTGCACCTCATATACGTTAAATCACATATAAGACTTAGTAACTGATTCTGTGAGGTGGCAGGAGAGAGACTAGTGAGAAAAGAAGTCATGATTTTGCTTGCTTTTCTGCTTGCTTAGTTGAATTTGAGAATGAGAGTGGAGAAGTTGAAAAGGGGGTTTTAATTTTGAGGGGGGGGCTTAAGTTTGGATTTTGAGGGGGTTGTCCTTTTTGTCATGGACGTACAGACAGGGCATAAGAGAGAGCAAGTCCGGAAATCTAATTTGGGGAGGCGGTCATTCAGTCTGATGGTCTTTGAGACTGTGGAGCTGAACTCTTCTGTAGTGAGTGCGTTAGTTCCTGGTCCTATAGGCAGTAATAGAACTCTTTAAACCTCTTTGGCTACTGGCTTTCCTGATGCTTCAAAATGGAAATGGAGACACACGGAATGGCAGCCTGTGACGAGATAGATAGAGGTTTTGTAGGCGATAGAGGCAGGGAGGAAAGGGCCAGTGCAGGCTTTCAGTTACATCTTGATAATTGTATACTCTCTACCTTGACAGAGACCGAAGGGAAGCCAAGGTGAATGGACAGCTCCTTTTGTGAGCCTAAACTGGTTTTGCTCTTTTCCCACTGGTTTGCTGAAAAATTGCTCATGTTTGTTCTAGATATTATACAGATGAGTTAAATAACTTTTGTAAGCATGTACTTTAGGCAGTGGTTCATTTAAAAAGTTTTTCAAGGATCTCCTACTCTGGGGTTTTTTTAATGTCTTTTTTTTTAACAATAAGAGATTATTTATTGAATGTTTCATGTCCACATTAATGTAAAAGCTTAACTTCTTTCAAGTTTCTTTTTTTGTTTGTTTTTGTATTCTGCCATCTTGGACCTTCCTTCTAGAATGTCTTAATCGAAAGTTCTCACATGATTTGGTCCTGTAGGAAGAGATACATTTATTTATAAATACCCCTGCCCCTCCCTTTGCTATCATAAGAAAAGCAGTTCTATTTCCCCCATTAATTCTGGTTTTAAAATATCTATTTTGTGTTTATTAGGGGGATGGTTGGATACGTGTTTTCTAATATGGTTTGATCTCATAAATTGAGCCCATGGATCGACAAAACACAGGCCTCCCTGTAATTGGCACAATGAGCTTTTGTTCATTACACATCTGTTTCTCTCTTCTTCCAGCTCTTGTTCCTTTCTTTTTCTTTCTCCTCCTCACATTTTTACTCCTCTCTTTGACTTCTATTCTTATTCCTGCCACTGCCATCCATAGGCATTGCCTAGTTCACCCATAAAATTTGAGATTAATGTATCTTTTGAAAAATTATATAACCTTGTTAACATTTAAGTTCCTAGGTGTCCTATTTATTCTCCATCACATCACTAATTTTTCTTAATAGCACATATCACCAGCTGAAATTTGCAATTTGTTTCTCTACTCAATTGTCTCTTCTCCCTAGAATATAAACTTCACAAGAACCAGAGACTGTTTTGTTTTCACTGTTGAACCCCAAGTCCCCGGCACGGAGGAGGCTTACAGTACTTATTGCTACATGAATGACAAGTATTGCTGAGAATTTTGTAGACTATGTTCTCTGCCCATATTTGCTGCTCAGTGTGTTTATTAACTGAATGAATTAGCATTTAAATTAAAAATTCCAGGTAAGGTAGATTTCATGTGAATTTCTGCCAGTTCGCATGTTTGATTGTGTGTCCTTGTACTCTTGGGACTTTTACCAACTTTTAACTTCATCTGGGGGTGTAAATTACTGTCAGTAGATCTTAGTAATAAAGTAGTATTAGAAATGTTTAGGAGCAGTCAACCAAGAAACATAAACCAGCGAGCACTTTTGTTTTTAAACAAATAGAGAGTGATGTTGGTTTAAGTGGCAGTGCCAGTGTCTTGCTGCAGGAAATTAAAAAAGGAGTAAAGAATATTACATTTTATGAATGGCGTGTTCCGTTAGTTTTATGTGACTTCGTCATTAATGGGTTTTGCTAATTTTATGGACTTATTTTTAAATTTTATCACATTTATTGAATGCTCTGGTTTTCATTCTCCACTCAGTTAAAGGGCTATGCCGTTTATTTTCCTTGCCGTGCTGACTAATTTGTCTTGTATATACTCACATGAATAAGTCACACATTCTTGTTAATGAGACTAGAAGGCATAGTATCTTGCCAACATAGGAGGCTTGTGCTTGTCACTCTGGACTGGATGGGAGGTTATGTGTGTTTTCTGTTTCCCAGGG